GTTACAACCCCCAGGCATGATGTTCTGTGGTATGGAATACCTCTTTGGCTAGCTTGGGTCAGGTGTCCTGTCTCTGCTTCCTCCCGGCTTCCCCTCCTCTCTGGCAGAGCATGAGCCTCGGAAAGTCCTTGGTCAGGGTAAACATTACTTAGCAACAACTGAAAACATCGGTGTTATCAGCACTGTTCCGAGGCTGAAAGTCAAAACACAGTGCTGCACCAGCTACCAAGAAGGCGAAAAATTGACTGCTACTGCTAAACCAGGACACTGTCTTTTCCAAAAGTGGATATTAAGAAGAGATTAATTCTATTCTCATAGAGTCAATGAAACATCCATCAGTGCTATATGTTTCAGTTCAATTTGCTTGATAGTCTTCTTAAAAAGATCTTGTTACAGACTGATAATGTCTTTTTATTGAGCATTTTTATGGGAATAAACAAGACCCAGTACTTTGTAAGAATTAAAAACACATCTAGAGATCTATTAAAGGCACTTTGTAATTGAAAAAAAAAGAATGCTTGTAAATGAACATCAACCATGCCTGGTTTCAGGTACTGATTTTTGTATGTAAAATAGGAGTATATATTGCCTTCATTTGCAGATTGAAGTGTGTTTCATGCTGTTGATCACTTAGAACTGATAAAGTCCCATCAAGGAAAGAGGTAATAGTGGAGAGCCAAGATGAGGTGTCAGGACCTGTGACATGAATGGAGAACCCACTGTGGTGGTAATGTTGGACAAAAAGGCTCTTCCCTCTACTCCCCAAAGCATTTGTAATAACTTTCTTACATATCCATCTTACTTGTTCACTACTAGTGGTGGTTTCTTTCCTATTGTCCTGGCTTCAGCAATAGCAGTCATTTTTTTCCTTCTTAGTACCTGGTGCAGTGCTGTGGTTTTGATTTTCAGCCTGGGAACAATGCTGATAACAGCAATGTTTTTAGTTGCTGCTCAGTAATGTTTACTCTGACCAAGGACTTTCTGAGTCTCATGCTCTCCCAGGGAGGAGGGGAAGCTGGGAGGAAGCAGAGACAGGACACCTGACCCAAACTAACCAAAGAGGTATTTAATACCACAGCACGCCATGCCCAGTATATAAACTGGGGGCAGTTACCCGGAAGGGCTAGATCACTGCTCAAGTCAGGCTGGGTGTCTGTTGGCGGGTGGCGAGTAGTTGTACTCTCTTCCCTTATTTCCCTTATTGTTATTATTATTGGTGGTAGCAGTAGTGATTTGTGTTACACCTTAGTTACTGGACTGCTCTTATGTCAATCTGTGGGAGTTACATTCTTTCGATTCTCCTCCCCATCCCTCCAGGAGCTGGAGGAGGAAGTGGGGGGTGTGTACTCGAACGGCTGCGTGGTTTTTGTCGCCAGCTGGGCTTCAACCACAACACCTATGCACTTTTCAAAGCCCTAGTTCTCTGCTCTTAGTTTCCCAGCTTTTCCACAGCGAGGCTTATGTGTGACAGACGCACCAGTGTTTAGCTGCCAAATGTCAGAATTGCTGCCTGCAATCAAAGTGAACTATACTTTAACTAGAAAAAAAAGAGATTGGGTGCTGTAATAATTTTGCTAAGGCAAAAGAATACAAATGACCTATTGCAGATAGGTAGTCAATACAGTTTTACAAAGGATGTCACTTGCTCTCGTTGTGTGACATTCTTCCTTTCACTCCCATCTTTTTAAAACAATGCTATTTTACCTTCATGCTTAGCCTCTATTTCTCCCATTTTTTAATGGTGTTCCTCATTTGTCACTCCATCCTTGTTGGTGACTTTAGTGGTGTCAGTCTGCTGAAGCTGCAGAACCTACAACAGAAGCCAACATGCCATCAGCTTAATTATGCAAAATTTCTTCTTTAGCATTGGCCATACTACACAAAACCAATTCTGGCTCATGCACTCTGACTTTAAATGTTGCTTCATGTTATTAACTACATGCTAAGCTTACCTGAAATCTGATTTCTGTATAAATCTTCTGTTTGTGCTGCTTGAAGAAAAAATACAACACTAAATTAAACTTTTAATTGTGTGTAGAACTGGCAGTCACACTTACTTCATAAAATCATGTGGCATCAGTTTGACAATGATTAAAAGTATTATGCACTGTTTCCACCATGTTTTTTTGGTAGAGTTCATCTTCAGCATCCTCTTACTGCTAACGAAACTTGTAACTAACACATGTATTCTAATAAACATAGGAACAGTTTGAAAGATCCTGACTTGAAAATTATAACAATTTCTCGTGAAAACGCAATGTTGCTTGAACTATTCTACTCTTCATTGTCACACAAAGAAAAAATGGAAAGGTCTCTATGAAGGATGACAGAACTTCACAGAAGTGCAGATTCACAGGATCATTAGGGTTGGAAGGGATCTCTGGAGATCACCTGGTCAAACCCTCTGGGCAAGGCAGGGCTATCTGGAGCAGGTTACACAGGAATGCATCCAGGTGGGTTTTCAATGTCTCCAGAGAAGGAGACTCCACAACTTCCCTGGGCAGCCTGTTCTAGTGTGCTGCCTCCCTCAACATAAAGAAGTTCTTCCTCATGTTGAGGTGAAACTTCCTGTGTCTTAGTTTATGGCCATTGCTCCTCATCCTGTCACTGGGTACCACTGAAAAGAGTCTGGCACCATCCTCCTGGCACCCACTTTTGAGGTATTTGTATGCATTAATGAGATCCCCTCTAAGTCTTCTCTAGACTAAGCTTCTTACAGGTGGAGGAACACTGTATGTACCAATTAATCTATACCCAGGTTTGCAAGTGGTGTGTGAAGGTGGCTTCAATACTGAGAACGAGGAGGTTGTCCCTGTTGGAATTTGAGTGTGGAACTGGCTTTATCCAGAGTAGTTAAAAATCACAGAATACTATTTTTTTAAAAAAGTGTATTCTCTGTGGCTGTGATGACTTTCTCAGCAGGGCATGAGCAAGGAGGGCTACTGTACCACTTCTGTGTTTGAACAGGTTTTGGTTCACTACATTTCACTTCTTTCAATTCTCAGACATGCATTTCAATCATCCTAGTGCTAATACCTGTATAGTTGTAATAATTTATTTTTTTCAGTTGTGTCAGGAGAACTGTCAGCTCAAACCATCCAATCTTGTGCTAGAACCACAACAGGGCAGATAACTTGGTTAGCTTATAGCTATCAAAAGATCCGTTAACAACAACCAGTATTAAGAAACAGGGAGAAATAAGGATCTGTATTTCTAGATAAGAACTGAAGTCCAAATCTGTTCAATTAGGCATGAAACCTATCACTGCATATTCTCATGCATTTATCAACTCCACAGTTAACTGTACTCCACAGCAACTCTATTATCTTTGCATTTAGCTTGCGTGAACCTGTCCTTTTAAATCCTTTTCCCCTTTAATGTCTTGCTGCACGTTACTGAAGTCAGTATTTATAAAAGGAATTCATAAAGAACAGAAACATTTTTGTTTGCACCGACTCGGTGGAAGAGGGCCCCTTAACTGTAAGACGCATATGAAAATTACTTTTCATTACAAGCAGACTAAACGAGTGGAGAGGAAAAGGGCTGGCAGAGGAGACACAGAAAAGCAAAGCTCAATCTCCTTTTACGGGTCTTTTAATCCTCCGTGATACACTCAGCCTGACTACAAAAAAAAACAAACATTTCCAAGAGCTAAAACGGGCCCCAGAGGATGCGACAGAGGCCACGGCAGCTTCCCCCCCCATCTTCAGTCCAACCGCAGCATCCAGACGGTCCGGCTCTGCCCAACATCGTGCGGTAGTACCGACCCCGTTTCGTGCTGCACCCGCAGCTCCCCACAGCGGTGGCCCGGCCCGCCTCCCGGCCCAACGCGGGGTCCCTGCGCCCGCACGCAGCGCGGAGGAGCGCCTTGCCGAGAGAAGGCGGCTCCCCGCGGACTCCGTCCTTCTCCCTCTTCCCGCGGCAGTCGGTCACCACCTTCTTCTCCGCAGCCTGTGCGGAGCCGAGTTGGCGCCTGGCGGCCCCCGACCTGAGAGGAGAGCTGGCTGTTCCGAGGCAGCCGCCCCTCACCGGCCTCTGCATGTCGGGTCTGTGCACGTACATAATATATATACGTCTCTCTGTGTGTGCGTGTTTATCTCACCGAAACGTTATACCGTATCATCTCAGCGCTGCTCCCCGGCGAGGGTGATGCCCGCAGTGATGATCGGCGGGACACTCCTAGGCGAGGACACGCGGGAGCTTTAGGGACGCACATGGGATCATCCCTCACCGGTTTTGCTCCATTTGGACCCCCTCTTCCGACTTAGCCCGTAGGAGCGGGACTCGCCGCGCTCCAGTGAGGGGCCGGGGCCGCAGAACCGCGGCCCAGGGAAACGGGACGCGGGGGGGAGTTCGAAGGGGAGAAGATCGCGCCCTAGCAGCAGCCTGGTAAAGTGGTAAAACCGGCACCGAATTTCTTCCGAGCACGGGGGTCGGTGTGCGTCGTCCCTGGACCCAGTCGCGGCCAGGAGAACCGGCAGCCGGAGAAGTTAAGCTGAAACGGAGGCTTTCTGAGGCGGAGGGGGAGGGACGGGGACACAACTTTCCCGCTTAGATACGGGGAGAGCCGACAGCCGCAGAGCCCCAGGACCGGGGGACTGGGCTCCGCAGCCAAACGGATTCTCTGCGGCCTAGGGGGACGCCACCTCCCCGCGGCGGGCCGGCAGTTCCAGCGCCGAGGCCGGGAGCGCTCCCCGACTGCCCGCCGGTAGCAACCTCCTGCGGGGCGCAGCGCAGCGCCCCGCCTCACCGCCCGCTCACCCCGCTCCGCCACGGGGGCCGGCCTGGGGGAGGGCTGCGCGTCACCGGATCCCGGGGCGACTGCAGCGGGGCGGCGTTACGGAGCTCCCCTGGAGCGGCGAGCGGGGGGCAGGCGGGGGTCCCGGGCGGGGCCGGCATCACCGCGGCTGGCTGCGGCCGCGGTGGCGGCGGCGCGCCGCCTCGCCTCCCCTCGCCTCGCCTGGCCGCTCCCCGCCGCGGAGGGGCGGCGCTGCCTCACCGCACTCCCCCGCCCGGCGCCCCCGCTCCGTCTCCAGGAAGGGCCCGGGGAGCCCCACGCTCCCCCTCGGCGCGGCGGCGGCTCGGGTGCGATGTCGTGTTAGCCGGCGGCCGTCGGGAAGGCGCGCGAGTTGCCGGGGCTGCGGTGGCACTATGGGCACCGGGCTGGGGGCGGCGGCGGCCGCACTCCCTGAGCGCTCCGGCTGATCCCGGCGATGTGCCGGCGTCTTGTGGAAATACTTGGGAAATAGCGTGGAGCGGTCCGGGGAGGACGAGCGGCACGGCGATTCACCAGCTGAGAGGAGGTCGTCCGGCCGTGGTGCGCAGGCAAGTAAGTGCTCCTCTGCCTCTGTCCTTTCTCTGCATTGCCTTCGTCGCGAGTGACTTTTTAAATGCAGCTGCCCCTTGCCCGCTCCTCTTTGGAGGCAGGGTGGTCGGCGGCGCCAACGGCAGTTTTCAGGCGTTTAGGTGCCCAAGGTTGGTGGCTGGGATTGCGGGGAGCCCCGCTCCAACTACGCCAGAGTCCGCCGCGGGCATCTCGCCGGTGCGGTGCTCCGGGGTGGTGGCCGGGAAGGAAGCGCCGTTTCCCAGTGCTTCCACTTGCAGCTGGGAGAGGTGATGCCTTCTAATAGGTGTTAATATAAAAAGTCTTTCTCTTTGTGCTGAGATGTAACTGTATTGTAGGAGTCTCTTAATTGCTTTATATCAGTGCTTCTTGCAGGAGAGAGGCAGGGTGAGTGTTAGCCTTTCCGACCCATTTGAAAGGATTACGCTAGTGAACCCAGAGTTTTGTATTTATGCCTTTAACTTTCTTGTGCCCTACCTGGCGATTTCCTTTGAGATGCTGTTGCTGCGAGGCTATGGTTTGTCCAGCCTTGTTTGCTTAGTTTTAGCCTGTGGGTATTTATTGCTATACTTGACATTGCCATGAAACAAAAAGTTGACTATAATTTATTTCAGTATATGGAGCACAGATTGCAGGCAGGGGACTAATTCTGCTCTCGGAGGAGCTCCACTTAAAAGGAGGAGGGCCATGGGGCTGTAATCTCTTGATAAAAACTTAGAGAGCTCAAAGCAGACCTGTCACAGTGCAAAGAATGATTTCTCCTGTTCACCTTCCAGCACTGATAGCACATAAGCTAGGCAGCCGGACTCCCCATATCTATGAAACACCTGTCTCTGGAACACAAGGGATAGAGATGTGAATTCTGGGCAGGTGTGGGAGAAGACAGAACTTCAGACAGCATTTAATTAAGTTTGCTCTTATTGATTTCTTTGGTGTCTCCTGTATGAGCCTGAAAACTACAATCTTTTACAGTGACCTTGATGTATGTTGTGTTGAAAGCAGCACAGAATAAGAGCATTTACAGAGACCTATAGCTAAGCTCTGACATTCCACTAAGAGCTCAGTCAACTAGTGGACGTGAACGTGGGTGTTCCAGCGAATGTGGTAGTTTCAAGCAGGGGCACTGGGAATGGTGTGTGTGGGGGAACTAACGTGGGGAAATTACTTCCTGATAGTGATAAAAGTGTAAGTTGCAATGTTGGGAGCATATGCTCCTACAGAACTGTCACTGTGCGTGAAATGTTTGTTGAGTTCTGGATATTTCAATTTCTAATCAATGAGGTCCTTTAATGAAAGGGGTGTGTGGGTGTGTGTGACGAACTCAGAGCTTCCCAGGTTAATGCACTTTGTCAGCAGCAAGAGATCTTTTTATGCACTGAAATACACACTTTTAAGTAGATGCAATATTGGCATAATAAGATTAAAAGATGTTGGGATGTCAGTACAGTGTAGGTGTGACTAACTCAGGTTTATATCAGAAAGATAAAGTAAGCCTTTCTGGTAATGGTGGATGGGGATCGCTGTGGGTAGGCTGACTGAGGGGAATGTCATTTGTTTCAGCACAGTTTACCGAGAGTGTTCCTGTGGTTCATATTTCTGACTGAAGATGCTGCAAAGCACAATTAGAGTCACTGTTGCTAGACAGTGGGATGCAAACTTATTCATTACTTAAAACACTTAGCTGCTTGTGTGTCATATAAAAAAAAGTACAGCTTTTAGCAAAGTCTGCCTGTGGCTTTACTGTAGTAATTCCTTCTTCGGTTGCAGAGTGGCAGGCTTTCACTAGGCATGTGCAAGCGAGATGATAAAACACTGAAGCATGCACTGATCTGGAATTCATTCAGGCTATATATTACATTTGAGGTTTCCACAATTACCATAAGTAACTGCTTATACCTGATTATATAAGTAAATGGGGTTTAAAAACTGTATTAGCTTTGTCAGTTCTGAAGCCTGCTACAGAGCTGTTTTCTTCCTTTTCTTTTTAGTCCTTCAAACTAATCTAATGCTATACTTGCTCTTTGCCTGGAGAGGAAGAAAACATAATTTAATGATTTATCATTTGGCTTTTGCAGTATCTTATCCCATAGCTATGAGATAATCTAATGAAGGTCCCCATCACTGAATTAAAGAACATGGTGCTCTAGATTTTCACTTACAGCCAGCTTTTCACTCTGTTACATGTCTGAAGAACCAAGTTTTCACAGGGTCTGATAGAAAAAAAGGAACATTTCTTTTCCTGTTAGAAACTTGAGAAGAAAGAGAAAGGTAAGAGTTGAGATCTTTAAGGATATAATTAAAAATGACGACCTCTAAGATATTAATCAAAACTCTTTATCTTCACATATTTTCTTTGTCTTTTACATGGTACTTTTCAGAAAGCCTTTTTGCATATTTATTCTTTGTTTTAAAATCTGTGTCGTTCTTAATTTTAAAAAATCAGGAGTGGCCATCATACAGTTCACTGTAGGGCTGTTCTAGTATCCTCTTTAATGTTCGGTATCCCAGTTTGCTTATATCTTTTGAATGTGGATTTCTAAAGTACAATGTATGTGACTTCATAGCATGAAGCATGGTTTTAAAACTATGCAGATCTCTTTAATAGAGAAGATGTTGGCTTGATTCAGAAATTTCAGGGCAAACTCGGAGATTATGTTTCTTATCTGTTTTTTTTCACATTTGCTCAGACATGCTGCTTGGCTGTCAGGCATAACTTTCATAAACTGACAGAAAGACCTGTAAGCAAAATTAAATATATCAACAGCTAAGCATGGTTTTTGTAGTTAGCCAAACTGAGTTGAGTGTGTCATTTCTATTTATTCATCTTAAATTCAATATTAAGACAAACAAACAAGAGCTGTAATCTGCTCTGAGTTCTTCCCTCTGAAGTGCTCAAATAGGTATGATTTCTTCATGCTCATAATTCAGCACTGGTCCTTGTGCCTGAGCTACTAGGAAAACTGTGATGTGGTCAGTATTTCTTACTGGTGGGCATTGCCAGGTCTGCTTGCATGCATTGTTTAAAAGGTAAGGAGTTGTAGTGAATGATAAGAAATGTCAAATGGATTTCATATGTAGTCTTTCTTGGCCTTTCTCATGGCTGTGCTTTTGGTTCAGGTTTCCAGGGAGAAGGCAGAATGTGAGTGGCTTGAATCCCAATTTGAGTCTGCTGCATCAAGGTGTACCTCTGTCAGTATGCTGTGACATTGGCTCAGCATGATTACAGAGCTGACCTTCTGTGTTTGCCCTGAGTTTTACCTACCATAACTGGAAGAGTCAGAAAGCCTTACTGTCATTGTGGCCAGCCTAAATTTTCTGCTCTCCTGTTGCAGATCAGAGGAAGGAGAGAAAGTATATGTTAAAAACCCCCACAAAACTAAAACAGATCATGCCTCAAAGATACAGCTCTAATCAACATGAGGGAATGCAGCGGAGACACAGCCAGTGAAATTCACATGTATATTTAATCATTTAAGGGGAAAAATTATTGTCCATCTCAAGAGACTGATTTAGTGGATGATGTGTCTACTCCTTACCATTTCCTACGTGGTATGGTAACAGAGCTTGTTTCCACTGTGCGCTTTAGATGCTAGTGTCACTGTTGTTTGGGTTTCTGAGCCTGATATTCAGTAATTAGCTAAAGTTGGCCAAAAGAGGTGGAATGTTCAGTTACATGATGAGTTTGGAGGTGCAGCAGCCAAGGGCTGTGTTGTTTCCTGGGGACTTGCTCTGTACAGTTTATTAAAGTATTGAATAAAGGGAAACCAATCAAGGAGAGTGTTTGGGATGAGTTTAATTCCATCATTTGTTCTTCAATTTATGTTTGGTAGTGTTGGACCAAACCCTGAAAGTTCTTCATTGTGATACTAATGTGAGAGTAAGAGTAGATTAGAGTTACATATGTATAATGATACTGCTGGAGAAGGTTTGCTGTGACACTCAGGTATTCAGAATGACTGTAACAATAAGAGACAGAACAATAAGGTTTTGTGGAAGGCTGCGCTGTGCCTTCTGCTATGAAAAACAGGAGGTCCCCCATGGCAGGAGCTGAACACAGCTGAACACAGTCTTGCCCTGAAGGAGGAAGTGGATGTTCCTGGAATGGAACAGCCCTGGAGCAGAGCGAAAGTCCCACACTGGTGCTCACAGGGTGCTTTTCAACAGCCATTGAAATTCCTGTGTGAGATGTGGTTGAGGTAAAGGCACTGATGTTTTACTGCTTTAATACTGGCACAGATACTGGGTCTGTGAAAGAACTCAGGGCTTCAGAGATGTTCTGAGTGCAGTTGATTGTTGGCTTAGTTGATTATTCTGCAGATAGTTATCATCGAGATCTCATCTCAAAAATGTTGGATTTTTTTTTATTTTTTTTCCCTATGAAGTATTTGTTACTTGCTGTTAGATTTGTGTGTTCCTTCCCTGGTTGGGTGACATTTTGGTTCAAAGGTATGCTTTTAAAGCTGATGACATCAAGCACTTCTGAACTGTTTGTTGCTTGGAGCTCCTGAGATAATGTTATTGGTGGAGGAGCAGTTTATTCATTGATTTATTCTAAAGTCTGGGTTTGTTATATTTTTTTTTTTCATTTTCAGTGTAGTTTTTCAAATAGTGGGCAGTGTACTGGGCTTCCTGATGAAGGTGGGAGAAATGACTCTTTAAGAAAATTTTATATTGCTTTTGGTCAAATTATTTAAATAGACTTACAATTAACTGTGAGCAAAGGCTGTTTGAATAAAACACATGCCTTTTGCCCTCCACCTATTGTATTAAATTTATTTAAAGGAATGTGGCTATCCATAAAGAAGTAAGAATGGGAGTACTGTTTATGACATTCATTTTTCTTCCCATTTCTTTCAAAACCTAAAGATACTTTGAAATCGTTCTGTACAGAATCTGATGAGTGGCAGTAGTCCTACCCTCTGATTCTTTCTTGGTTTAAAGATCATTTTGCATTTTTATTGAATTTAGATTTAGTGTAAAAATGT